TTATTAACATACTCTTTTTTAGGTTCATTTAGGTTCTTTTGATAACGATAGCAGAAAATAGCTATCGAAACGTCAAGGTAATTTTTCAAATTAATGTCTCTACTAATTGATAAATAATTCGAAATAGGAGCACTATTTATCAATCTGTAATAAAAGACGTGAGGAAATTCTGTCTTTTTTAAAGACAAAAATTTTTGAGGCGAAATACCCAAAAAGAAGTTTGTAAAAAATCAGAATAATAATATTAAAATAATTTACTCAATTGAACAAGTAATAGAAATAATGCTCAAATATTTGGAAGAAACAAGAAAATGTAAAAATGAAACTAAATTATATGAGAATTAATATTTTGGTTTACTTTTCTGTTACTTCGGATTTCTTAAATGTCAATTAAATATTTCTCTAATCTAAATTTTATTTATGGGTATTAAACATTACTGATAATCATTTTGTAAAATTTGTTCTGCTTTATTAATCAGGGGTTACTCGTACATGAGCTGCTCCTTGTATAGATGCGCCATAAACAGTTTCGCCAGTGCTGTTAAAACAAGAAAATATTAGACTGTGAAATTTTGCAGCATCCTATGAGCAGGATTATTTTAATTATTGAAACCCGAGTATGACACGATTCTTACACGGAGTGTTTAAAATAATGTGTACATTTTTACGAGCATATTACCATTATCTATATTTTGAACAGATATGTGTTTACATGTTTTGAACAGATCTGTATTGCTTTGTTCTACTAATTTGATTATTTTTAAAATAAGTAATTTCTAAGTTATGCACAGAAAATTTCCTTCAATGGTTATTTCACTCAATTGGATTATTAGACACATTTTTTTGGGAATTACCCGGTTGGTCATCTTTAACGGGAATGGTTTCGGAAATATTTCACTTATATCTGATAGATCAGAGTGGTTTCTGTATTAATCAACAGGATTTGGATATTTGGAAAAGCCCACAAACTTTACTTTACCCGATCTTGAAGGCTACGTTTTCAACCTGTTTTTTTCTTGGAATCGGAGACTTTCCAATAATGCGCCAATATACCAGGAGTTCGAGTTTTTCATAGACATTACTAACTTAATGCTATCTTGAAGGTCGTTTCACAAGCTTTCAAAAAATACTAAATTGCCAAGTTTCTGGCGTAAATCGGTTTAAAACTAATTTTTTTGCCCGAATTGGCGTCATTACACTATTACGAAACTGAACAATTAAGCCAACAAATTAATGCACTCGATATAAAAACAATTCAGTTTGAAAAGACTGAACAGATCGAACTGACAAGTTTTTCGGTATAATATTTATCTTTTGTCGGTAATCATGAATCTGATCTACCGGGAAAATGGGTAATATGGTGTTTATCGTCGGAGAATGCCAAAAAATCGCATTATTAGCATATATCGTATGTGATATCCAAATGCTTAAAGAAATCTGAGAGTTGAAGCATTCAAAAGTTTATCGGATAGATTTATAGAAATAGAAAATGTTACATTTAAGAATTAAACAATAATTAATGAAATAGGAACAAATGAAAGGTGTCGCGTAAGCACATAATCAAAATGATACTGCGATATTTTTGGCATCAAAAGAAGACAATCCGACCTAACTTTTATTAACAAAAAATGTCTGGCTCCTCTGCTATTCATGGTTAAAGTTCTTCAAACAAATTATCTTTTTTGAAATATCGGGAGAACGGTACGATGTATTTTAGTGAAACTCGCTGTGCATTTGTTCTTATGTAAGACTCATATTTTGATGGAACAATCGTGTTCATCCCTTTTGGACACGTGGAGAATTCTTGAGTGTCGTGGTACAAAAACTACCAGAACTTTTTATTTGGTAGATGAAATTAACTAATTTTTTTTGGTTGATGCACTAATCATGTATTCACAATTTTGGTAATTGCAGTTAATGTCTAACATTGTTAAGTGGCAAAAATCAGATATATTTTTTTGCGCTAAAACTATGAATGCTGCAAGATTTGACAAAATGCACAAAATTGTGCATAAATGATTTGTGCATCAACCAAAAAAAATGAGTTGATTCCATCTACCAAATAAAAAGTTCTGGTAGTTTTTGTACCACGAGACTCAAGAATTCATGACTTTTGTCCAAAACAGCTGACCGCGAGTAAAATATATTCTCCCGAAACTTTTTTTGAAGAAGAATTTTGGCCATCAATAGCATTGGAGCCAGTCATTTTTTGTTAATAAAAGTTAGGACTGATCGTCCTTTGATGCAAAGAATATCGCAGTACCCTTTTGATCATGTGCTTACGGGACAACCTGTATTTAATAATTATAGGTGATAATAAGCTAGGAATCGAATATTTCTTTCTGTTGTTTTGACCGAGAAAACAATTATGAACATGCCAGGGCACAATAACTACTTCCAACTACTTGCAAATACTTGCAGCATTAATTCTTTTCACCTTATTTTCTTTTATTATTAAATTTTTGAATACCGAGGTGGAGGTATCTTGTAGACGTGATCGTAAATGTCTGAAAATTTATATATGGAAAAATACTAATACGGATTTTTAGAAAACGGAAAAGCTGTGTAAGTATCGGAAAAAGTGGAGCACTGGCTCACTTTAACATTCATTTATTGAAACAACTGTGACCAATTTCATATACTTATTTATGTATAGAGTAAATCAATTAAATCCATAAAGAACCCAAAATTATGATTATACTTGAATTATCATAATCATGCCTTCTGCTCAAATTGATTGTTATAATCCGGCACCCAAGAAAAACGAATGCCAATTTTCTTCGTTGGCATTCACAACTCGACTATACCGACTGCAGTACCACTATGGTACTACTTTCAAAAAAGTAAGTGCATATCTGCACAGACACAAGCGATTCATATTTCATTCACAGTACGCAAAGCATAGCAAGAATACCTAAACCGCGGTACCAATCGCGGGTTCGCTAATAAAGCGGGAACTGAAAAGTACCTCAAGTTTTATTAGAACCATTATGTGATAGTGTCTAAAAACCTAAAGGGACAAGTAGATACTCTTGGGACTTCCATCAATTTCTCATAGGTATGATATTGTATTAGAAGTTTATTAAATATATCGCAAAATTTATTTGTAGTTTATCACCAATGTATATTACAGATATTTTTGAAAAATCTCAGCTTGTAGATTTTTATGCCTCTATATATATGGATTATGAGAAACTGAGTCTTAGTTTTCTAGTCTCAGACTTGTTATCACATTATTTATCCAATTTATTATGAGTTTAAGTAATTTTTCCGTTGTGGTAACAAAATGTTTGCTTAAGTTGCTTTCTGTTAGTACAATAATTATCAGTGAAGAAAATAATTAAATAATGGTACATTGCAAGCGCACCTAGATATATTGTTAACTTTCTTACGCAATAATAGTTAATACATTTTTTTCTAGTCCGATTGATTGGCTAGTAACTACCTCTGTGAATAATTTATCAATTTTGATACACTCACAGCATAGTACTCAGCTTAAATAACGCGCTGTTAAATTAATAATTAAAATTTTAAATTTTAATAACGTCCACTTTTGTTTATGTTTTAATTAATTTAATTATGGAACAATCGAAAAAGTAGTAAATGCTTCTGGATGACCCATCAACAAATTTCTGCACTTAAGCAAAAACTAAAATAGTTAATAAAGGATATAAACGAGAATAGCTACCACTATTTTAAATTGGATGGATGAAAATCATATTTAATAATTAAAATGATTGATGACGAAAGTCAACACACACAACACACTTAACATGCGCATTCGAATGGTGATTATGAACATATTATGGAGTAAATAGAATCGTATTAATGAGCAGGTATTTAACTGTAGCTACCGAAACCAGTGCTTAAATGTGTAAATGTAACTTTCATTTTATGCTAAACATCTCGACAATTTATATCACAAATTGTTTTAGAAGTAAATATTTCAAGAGTCTAAACTTGTACACCTACAGTGTGATCATTTTGCATACCTTGAGACTGTATTAACATTTCATAATCAAATTTGAATAAACAAAATAAATCCTGCTTGTTTCAACATGTTGAGAGGATTTAATTTTTATACATTTACTAATTGAGTATCTTATTTGAGCAATTCAGTAATATATGCTTTGAACCATTATGTATTTCTAAACAAAATAAGACACATTTTTTTCCAGATTATAGACAAATAATTGTGGGATAAAAAGGAAAATACTATTTTATCGGAAACGGTCGGTAAGGCCATACTGGTGTCTCACTATAGTGAAAATGACCAAATTATTTCTTTTCTGTCTGTCTTTTCAAATCTGTTTAATAACTGTTCACATTTATGTTATTATCACAAGTTCTAGTATTATTAGACCATTTCATTTCTCCCTTTGTACTAATGCTGTTCTGTTAAAGAAGTGAACTGTCCAAAATAGTGACCCTCTAGTTTTAATGAGTTTGAGACAGTCTTAGTTAGCTAGTATTAAAATTTGCTAAACTTGCACCAATCTGATCTTAGGGTTTAAAATAAGAAATAAAATAAAAATCTTCAAAGCGATCTCAACTGAATCTATACTCACTAAGCATAAAGCATATTTCTAATAAGGTCATAATAAACTAAATCGAGTAACAAAGTTATAAAAAATATTTTATTTGCTATTGTTGCAGTTTCATCGTTTTAAACTAACACTTTATACCATAGTCAAGGTTTGAACTTCTTGTTACATTTTATTTTGTAAATTGCTAGGCTCTGAAGATGCAGAAATGCATTTACGAAACGTAAGTAATTGAAGAAACTGACGTAATTTATTTAGATCTCACTCCAAATAGTGCAATCAACTTTCACATACAAAAGACTCGAAAAACGTGTCTATTAATATTTTGCATGTTTTTCCACAAATTTTCATATTCTACACTTTTGTGGCTTAACACTTCCTTCCATGGCCATAACTTACCAAGGTAACAATCGTCAGTCTTCCATGTCTAGTTATATTAGGCCAAACTCTAGTTTATCAAAGTTGTATGTTTTATAGCGTATTTCCTTCCAAATTTTTGTCTTATATTGCATTTAAAGGTATCTGTTTTTCACAGGTAGCCAAATAGAGTGATCACCATCTGACATCTACCCACCATGGTTCTATTGACAAAGAGTCAATATGTGGTTATGCTTGCAATTTTTTTGCTGCTATGCATTATGGAAATTCATGGTAAACCGTCGTTAGGAAGATTCCGGTTTAGAGGGCCTTTTGCTCGACCAGACGAATCCAATGAAAATTTGAAGCATTACAGCGGACGAAAAATTAGCGATTCTATGCGAATGGTGTACTTTCATGATCAGACGATTGCCGTTGTCGAACTCGGACCAAGGAAATTACTGTTAAACTGCGAAATTATTGAAGTTTTGTAAGTATTATTTAACGTTTTTTCCCCATAATTTCTACATCTTTACAACTATGTTGATATCATTTATAGCTGGTCCTTCCGTTAGCGACAAATTTATGATAAATTTGGGGAAATAATTGGAATATGCAACTGAAATGGTTGTCTGGTATAGTTTGTTTCGAGATTAGTCGACTCGTAATCGGACTGGTTTATTCGTTGATATATTTTGGCATTAAGATAATTTGTGAAAACTTGTTAAGCAAATATTAACTAATCAAAACCGTGAAATCTTAAGCCAAAGGCGTTGTTAATTTATATGTACTATCAGCCTAATTAACATAAAAGTAAATTATTGTGCGAGACGATATACAAACTAGAGAAACCGCTGAAGAGTAATTCAAAACCCAAATCACATTAGCGGTAAAAAATCTGAATCAACCCATTCAATATGTGCTAAATAACTTTCTTCTTGAATGTTAACGTAGATTAACAATTCTTTTATTTGCGACATAGAAAGTGTTACATAAAATAAGAGGAAAGTGTCTGGTTTAGTTTTATTTGCTCCTGAAGAATGAGAGAGAACGTGAACCTCCATCAAGAATGTGGCGAGTATAAACTGAATATAAACAAAGCCTCGCTATGCACATAAGATGCAAGTAACTCACATTTTCTGATTTAAATATAAAAAACAGATTTATTTAGAAAAATAGTTATATTAAAAAATAAACTTGTCCAAATAGAACCTAGAAAAAAAAAACATTATATTTATTAATGTAAGATATCGGTCTCCTCGGTGTATCTGTTACTTCCTCTTATAATTTGTAATTCCTTGTTTGCAATCTGTTGCAAGTTATTGAGCTCTGAATTATGAGGATGCATGAATATTGATGTATCAACGTATTGTATATACGTATAGTATTCCAATTTGAGAAGTAGCCTTCTATTAATAGTCTCGAATGCATGTGGAAAGTCTAAAAAAACTAAACTTACATTTTTCCAGCTTCCAATACGGCTTTCAGACAAAGGGGAATAGACTGTGTAAGGCACTTTCACCAGACTTTCTGCTTCTAAAGCGCATTTGATCAGTCAGTAATCTATTTTCTTTCATATAAGCCGTTTGTTGTTTCTTCTTGTTGTTGTTGTTGTTTTCTTTTTCCGAATTCTTAAATTATCTACTTTTTTTGTACAACTATCACATTTTCCACTATTCCTCCATCACGTACACATAGTCTATTTTGGACACAACTCCTAGCATGCAAAGGTTTTCTTCTCTTCCATGTTTCTTTTAATATCTTCGCTTTTTTTAATAGGTTCTACTATGATCAGTTTTCCTTTCGGTTTACTTGTTAATTTTTTGCATTGTTTTGCCGTGTGTGGAATGTTGTTGCATCATTGTATTCTCTTTAGTAATTTTGTTTTTTTTTAACGAGTTCTACTGGTATTAATTCACCAATCATTGGTGCACCGCGCTCAATAGAATTTCGTAACTCTCCCGGACAATTCCAACATTCTCACTTCAGATGCCGTGAGATTTCTTAAATATTTCCTTGCTGCATTCATCACATGGGAAAATGTTTTTATTCTTTTGTTACTTTAATTAGGTTACCGATTGAGCATTTCATTGCAGATGTTACCAACAAACTTATCATCAATAAGGTCCACTTCGATGCCATTTGCTACACTTTCAAACATTTCTGATAAAAATAGCTTAGCTCTTAAAAACACACTTGCAATATTCTTAAGCTCTATTGAAAAATAATTCAATGGGAAATCGGAGGACTACGAGTAGATCTGGGAGTTGAAGTTGAGATCAACAATTTTTTGCGCATTTATAAAATTACCGAAACATTTCTGTTCAAAAGAGAGGAGGTTTCTATATATTTTGGAATAATTTTAACGTTATTTTTTTAAATTTCATAGACAGCAAAATACTGAATTTCTACTACAGACCCCCCTTCTGACTTGAACGCTAAATCCGCTGCTGCTCAATGTATGATATTTATGATATTCAAATATTTCGCTTTCTGGGTCGAAACTGCTCGAATTTATCATTCATGTTGTGATGAGTGGATCAAATTTTGCTGTAAATTTTTAATAGCTACATCTAATAACTTCAGCTTCTATAAACATAGCATACAACTCAAATTTAAGTCTTTAAAAAATTAGATAGAAAAATATTCCCTTGATGTGTCCAAGGAGCCCAATTTGCAAGACAGAATATCACACGAAAACCTCGATTTTATTTAGTCATAAACTTTATAGTTGAGCTCAGTGTAGAATGTCTCCGGTTTTTAACATCGAATTTCACATTGTAGCGGTTTCAGTCAAATTAATAATGTTTTATTGAAAACTCATAGCAAAATATTAATTGTTCTCCTCCGTATATCAATGGCTCTCGTGATAATGTATCTCTTCTGGTCTCTTTTATGTTCTATGTTGGTATTTATGGATATTTTTCGTCGTCCCCTTTGTCATTTTTCTCGCTATTTTCTTCGGGGATGTACGAAAGTACAGTTGTGCAGAGGTTTTTCAGTTAATAGTAATGCAGATGAGAATGTCAGTCGCACAAAAAGCATTACTTAATGTACTCAAAACGTTGTTGTATTGTTAAGAAGATTAAATATATTAAAACTTTAAATTCAACGTTAAAATTTTCAAAAGTCTTTTGTTTAAACTAGGAATTTTGGTTTCAACGCCAAAGCAGTTTCTACCGATAATTGAATCAAATTTCATCAACTAACGGACAATCACTTCGTATGATTAGCTTTCCGGTGGCTTTTTTTACTTAAAGTACATCTTCACTTCAACCGAACGACTTTCTGAGGATATCCATATTTAAAATCTGCTTTGAATATAATACATTTAGATATCGAATATGGCAAAGGTGCTAATATTTATTCAGGCAATGTAGGAGGCAATTTTACTTTATTAATATTCTATTTTATAGGTTTGTTTAGCATAACTCAGTAGGCATGTGTAAATGTATGTTAAAGTGTAAATACTTAAGTATCCAGTGAATATTTAACTGTTTTGCATAGAAGCCTTATGAAAGTGGTCTTAGCGCTTCAAAGCTAATTTATTTATCATCATATTTTCTGCACAAAAAATCAGTCCCAATTTTTTGAAAAAGCACTTTCTGAAAATATAAAATGTTTTATTTACAAAAATTACAGGCAATATTTGTACTCAATTTTCGGAAGTTCAATAATACTCCACTATGAATTTCATCAAATGACTTGTTCATACAGGGTGATTCATATGTGGATACTTTTTCTAACGCAACAGGGCGAGTTAGTTTGGTTTACTTCTACATGCAATACTAATACACAGTACTTTCCATGCGACACACAAAATGTTAAGTTTTTACGAATACAGATAGCGCTGCTTTAAACATTAATTTAGAACTGTTTT